ATAGCCATATGAGCTGAACATTTACATTAGCTAGATACACTTCTTGGAGGGATCAGTCATGGGAGAATAGAAGGGCTGCATATGAACAGGGAGACAGCTTGGGAGGCAGGAGTGCTTGGGAGAGAAGGACACAGGGAAGAGGTAACTATGGGGAGGAAGTGGGAAGAGAGCTGTTGCATTATGGAAAACTGCAGTCAATATCATGAGACAAAGTATATGTGAACTGCTGTATGGAAAATGAATTTGCTCTGTAAACTTTTACCCAAATCATAATAAAAATTAAAAAAAAAAAAATAATCAGAGTACACTCTTGGCTTTTAGGTGGTCAATCTACACTGTCAAATAATGTAAACAATGTATTGCTATTACTAAATCATATAAAATACTGTGATATGAGAAGGATTTTTTTTCTATCATTATTGAATTAACATATAATGTCTTAACATGGTATCATGATACACCAGAGTATTTAGAACTAAGGAGGTAAAATCCAGAATAAACAGCTAAAAGTTGCAAGTGACTGCTGGAGATCAGAACTGGGGTGTGAAAAGAAGTGAAGAATCTGATGCTTCTCATTAAAAGCCTCTTAGTACTAATTAATAATATAACCATGAATGTACATTTGATTCAAAAATAAGATAATGTAAAAGAAAACCATTACCTATTTTTCAACCTCCCAGGATCTAACTTTAACTCACATTTCCAGTTTTGTTTTCCATTCTTCTCTCTTAAACCCATTGCATTGAGTTGATCCCAACTCATAGTGATCCTATAGGACACAGCAGAACTGCCCCACAGGGTTTCCAAGGCTGTAATCTTTACCTGAGCAGACTGTCACATCTTTCTCCCACGGAGTGGCTAGTGAGTCTGAATGTCAACCTTTCGGTTAGCAGCTGAGCACTTAGCCACTACATCCCAGGGTTCTTTATACACTCTATACTCACTACTTTCCCTTCAGAGCACATTTCCTTATGGTTCACACACCCTCCCAGGCTGTAATATCCTTTCCCATCTCTGCCTAATAGATGCTGCCTGTAGTAGTTAAATTTCTATGTCAACTTGGCTGGGCCTGGTTGAGTGGCTGGGCAGCTGATGGAAATTATCCCCATGATGAGACTGGCAATAAACGCCATGGTGTGATTTACCATAAGCAGCTGAGTAGCTGCCTTTGGGCTGTGGTCTGTTTCCTGTATATAAGCAGAAGCCTTGGGGATAGTCTCCAGCTTATGGTACGCTTGGACCATCCATGCAGCCGTGTTGTTGTTCAGCAGCCTGCCATGCTCTGCCGACCTTGGGATTCACAATGGACTTGAATCAATGACCTGCTGTATTGTTTGGTAACATGGGGACTGTGCCTTTGTAGTTGTCAACCTTGGGTTTGTCAGCCTAAGCATCCAGCAGCTGTCTAAGTGAAAAAACGCCTCTAGCTCTAGTGGGCTGGGAGCAGGAGGCAGAGCTGGATCCCAAGGTTGAGGGGCTTTCCCCCAGCCCCTAGAGCCTGACACTTTGAACTCAGACTTAAAGCCTCCAAACTGGGAGAGAATAAACTCTTGATTATTAAGGGCATCCCATTTGTGGTATATTCTTGTCAGAGCAGCACTTGGTAACCAGAACACCGCCCATTTCAAAAGGCTCATGTCTCACTATCATCCTGCTCACAGAACAAGTTGACCAGCACAGTGCAAAGACTAAGCAACACAAAGATCAGGGGCCCTGTATCTCCTTTCCAGCTCTTTCCTCTATCAAAAGGAGAAAGCCAGACGCGAGAGGTCAATTATATGAAAGCTAGTCTGTGAACCACTTGTAATTATATATAAATCTTTGTGTAAATGTAGAAAAGTAAAGCTTTCAAATTATCAAACTAGTCTGGGGCCAAATAAATGATAGGAACCTCTGAGCAAGAGGCATTAAGAGGAGATACATGTGTCTTCTGAGAGGCTGTTCCCTGGGTGTGAACAGAACTGGAAGGACACTGGAAGAGGAATGTGGGTGGAGCTTCGTCCTGAGTCCTGGGGTCAGTGCACTGGGAGTATTCCAAGGCTCCATCTCAGAGCCAGGACTGCCTGCACTTCCTCACTGCTGGCTTACTTTGCACTTGCCTCTCTTCCCTGCATCCCTTGTCTGTGTGTACTGGGCTCTCTAGACGTAAGCTCACACAGCAGACACTGTGCCTCCTGGTCTTAGAGACATGTTCTTAATGGAAGGCGCACTACCCACACAACACGTGTCCAAGGGTGAATTCAGGAGGGCAGCAGAGGCCAAGTTTATGGACTGAGACATTTGAGAAGTTGGGTAGGGGTTTCTTTTGGGGTAGACTGGCCCTGGAAGCAGGGTCAGGTGGGTGACCCATCCAAACCCCACTCTCCATCTCCTCTAAGCCCAGTCCAGCACTCAACATTCCTTGGAATGAGCTTTCCAGGACCAGTTGCCCAGCTCCTGGCCCTGAAACCAATGTAAGATTTGCCATTCCTATAAAGATTCAGGTGACTGAGAGTCCATGGTGGCTTTTCACCTGCCTCATTCAGTGACTCCTATAAGCCACTTTCTAAACAGGCAGTGCCTGGCTTATAAATGCACAACCTGTAGTTAAAGCCTATGATATAAAATTTTGAGGTACATATGATGGTTCATAATAACAAATGGTAGCCACTCTGAAATACACCCTGTGGTAGTTAAGGTTGTGTGTCAACTTGTCTGGGCCTGGTTGAGTGGCTGGGCAGCTGGATGTAGTAGTATTCCCCATGATGAGACTGGTAATCACTCCATGATGGAATCTACTGTGAACAGCTGAGTAGCTGCCCTAGGGATGTGGTCTGCTTCCTGTGTATAAGGAGAAGCCTTGGGGAATGGTCTCTAGCTTATGCATGCTCGAACCCTGCACGTAGCCAAGTTGTTGTTCAGCAGCCTGCCATGCTCTGCCAACCATGGGACTTTCCATGAACTTGAATTAATGGCCTGTGCATGGTTTGGTAACATCGGGACTGTGCCTTTTTACTTATGAACCTTGGGCTTGTCAGTCTCAGCAGCCAACAGCTAAGTGAAGAAAAGCCTCTAGCTTCAGTGGGCCGGGAGCAGGAGGCAGAGCTGAAGCCCAAGGTTGAGGGGCTTTCACCAAGCCCCTAGAGCCTGGCACTTGGAACTTGGACTTCTAGCCTCCAGAAAAGAATAAACTCCTGTTTGTTAAAGCCATTGTATTTGTGGTATATTCCTGTCAGAGCGGCAGTAGGTAACCAAAACACACCCTAAAACATTATTATTATTACTGTTTTATTATGTCAAAGATGTTTTAGTGTATCTGGAAGTGTTTGTTTAAGAATTTTTATGCATAGAAAAGTAATATTATATACTAAGAAAAACACGTGACTAACTGATGTACAAACCATATTGATTTCTGTACAAATTTGACTTAAAGACAGACTTAGGACAAGGAAAGGTTGACATATGGAGGGAAACTTTCTTTGTTGGTTACCAAGGATGGGAGGGGAGAGGAGGGAAAATGACTAGATAGGTAAGAGACAAGTATTAATGTTGGTGAAGGGAAAGGCAATATACCAAAAGTGAGTGACCAGCATAATAACCTAAGGAAAAGGAGGACACAGAGAGGTGCACAAGAGGTACAGACAACAGAGGTAAACACTTCTACACACACAATACTGCATTACCACTAATAACAAACATTAATCTACAGGTAGATGTACAGGTAGACAGGCTAAATGATCAAGTATATCTAGGTAAAAAAGGAATATACCCATGATCATATATAAATTTGGCAAATGATATGTCTATATATGTATCTGTGCTATGAGAACATCCATATATATAATAGAGGTGACAGGGCAAAGTTATGAAAACTTCTTAGCCACAGCCAAATATGCTGAGAGAGTGAGTCATTGGACCCATGGGCTCTAGACCATGGTCGTGGGGGAAGTCAAGCTCAATTGGCATAACATACTACCCAAAAACATTATCCTACACAGTCTTATCCTACTTTGGTGAGTAGCATCAAGGGTCTCAAAAGCTTGCAAGCAGCCATCTAAGATGCAACAATTGGTCTCTCCTTATCCGTAACAAACAAGAATGAAGAAAATAAAAAATGCATGGGAACAATTAGTACAAGAGACTAGTGGACCATGGGAACCTCAGCCTACATGTCCCTGAGACCAGAACTAGATGATGCCTGGCTTCCAATGCCAACCACTCAGAGAGGGATCAAAATAGGAGATCTTGGATAGACTGAGAGAAAAATGTGGAACAAAACTCAAAATCATAAAAAAGATTAGGATTACTGGTCTGATAGACTGGTGAAACCCCCGAGACTATAGCCCTGAGTCACCCTTCAGGCCTAGAATTGAACTCACTCCCATGGCTTCCAGCCAAACAATAGATGGGCATATAAGGTGAACATTTACACCAGGTAGGTACACTCCTTAGAACAATCAACCATGGGAGACCAGAAGGGCAGCATTTGCACAGGGAGATAGCTGAGAAGGCAGGAATGCATAGGTAAGAAGGACAGAGGGAAAAGGTAACTACAGGAAGGAAGTGGGAATAGAGTTGTTTCATTATGGGGATCACAATCAATACCATGAAACAAGATGTCCATGAATGGAAAATGAATTTGCTCTGTAAAATTTCACCCACATCACAATTAAAAAACAACACACACAAAAAAGAGAGACATAGGAATAGAACTCATTTGTAATCCGATACCAGAGTCCCCTTAAGGTTCAACTCCCCACAAAGCGTGGCTGCCATTATCACCTAGGAAAAGAAGGGGGCCTCGTTCGACTAGCTCAGCTCTCTGGTATCACTGGCCCCATTCTCTGCCTCAGCTTCTACCACTGGACAAAATTTGTCCTTGCTTTTCCCCTTCTCCTCAATGGTCCCACCCTCCCCAAGTTTCCACCAAGGAAAGGTCATCTTATACCCACTCTTGCTCTTTTCTACTCACTGTCAGGATGCACTAGGGGTAGGAAGGAAGAGTTTGTCAACAGGCTTACCCAGAACTTCACAAGAAAAAAGGCATTGGAGGGTCCCCGTTCAAAGAGCTCCTTGAGTCCACCCTTTTTCTCTGGGAATTTGTCATAGATCTGGCGGATGTCCACAGCTTCGAGGTAGGGGTCATTGTAGCTTGGGCTTGACTGGCCAATGTGCACAAACAGGTGCTTGTTGTACTGTGGAGAGAACAGTGGGCCTGAGGGAGCGGTGGAAACAGCAGAGCAGACAGAACAAACCAGAGCTCAAATCCTAGCTCCAGTCTTCAACTGCCATGTGACTGGAGCATGTGACTTAGCACCACTCTGGGCCTCCATTTCCCCACTGTAAAATGAAGACAGTAAAAGGACTAATGGAAAAAGAGTTAATAGGGTATAAAGCACTTAGTGCAGTGCCTGACACCTAGTAGGTGCTCAATAAATTGCACTTGTTATTTATATATCCTTATGACCTCAGATAACTCATTTTATATCTTTGGGCCTCCATTTTCACATCTGTGATGTAAGGCATTTTCAAATTGTGCTCTAACCTCGGAGACAGGGAGCAAGATATATGTGTGTGGGGTGTCCACTGGGACCAAAGAAATTTTTTGAGTTTTGTTATAAGTAAAGAAATTCTGCTTTCTTTTGTTTTACACACTGAGCTTCCTAAGAGTCTGTTTAATGACTAGGTCTCTCAACTAAAAATGAAGTTGGAAAACCTCAGAGCGAGATGGTCTGTGAAGTAACCCCCCACACACACTCTGATATCTTCACAGGCTGGCTTCCTCCAGGTGATGTTGGCCTTTGCTGGTATTGCTGGTCACCCAGGATACTGAAGCTGAAGGGGATGGAGTGGTGTGGGGGCTGCTGCTTCCTGCTAGTGCCCTGTCAGATGGGATCAGACACTTGAGGCTCCTCAGAGCCAGAGGAAGGGATGGAACAGCTTAGGGGTGGGGCTGGGAAGGGAGCGCCTGTGGAGTAAGCAGTGGTTGGGTTGAGAGGAAAGGACGTGGAGGGTAGGATACAGCAGTGAGAGACAGAAAAGGGTGTGATGAGGAAAGGAAGACTGCCTGAGAGAACTGTAGTGAGGAAAAGAAACTGTGGAAGGACAAGAGAGGTGGAATGAGAAAGGAGGAAGATGGGGGGGAGGCAGAGGGTGGAATGAAAGAGTCAAGGGAAGAGCAAATTAAGCCCCAAAGCAGAGAGGAGACAAGCAGGGCAGGAAAGCCAAAAGCAGGTAGAAAAGAGGTGCAGAGAAGGTAAGGGAGGACAAGCCCCCAAGAATGGGGAAAGGGTGGGAGAGCCAGAACCTACCGTATCAGGGTCTTGCTGCTGTTCCAGGAAGGCAGAGAACTCCAACATCCACAGCTTGGAGCTGGCAACACTACGGCCCTGCCACGGAGGTGCAGGAGGTGCCGAGGGCGACGTGGTAGGCCCTGCAGGAGACTCGAACCCTGCACGTGGGAGAGATACATGGGAGCCCATCCACAGAGCCCCCCTGCTGACATGAGGCCCCCACCAGTGAGACCCAGTGCTAGCTGGGGGATCTTCTGTCACCCCTAAACAGGCCTCCTAGCAGTGATAGTGGAAGGGAGAGCAAGGCACTATTAGAATACCCAGAAACAGTCTTGCAGGGAGGGGTTAGCCAGATACAACCTGTCCACTCAGGTGTCTGCACAAGCCTTGAGGGAGACTAGATTCTGGAGGGGGACCTGAGATGTCTACAGAATTGAGGGCTTCCAGAGCAGGTACTATCAGGCTCTTGCCTTCAAGGAGCTTCTGGTCCAGTCATGAAGATGACCAGATGAGTCAGTTATTATAATATGGTGTAAACCCCATGAAAGTAGGAAGTTTCTTGTTTTCCTCATTGCTGTACCCTCAGCACCTAGGACAGCACCTGGTCCCAAACAGGCACTGGGTGAAGTCTGACTAATAAATGAATGATGGGTCCTTGGGTGGCACAAACGGTTAAGCACTTGACTACTAGCCGAAAGATTGGTAGTTTGAATCAATTCAGAGGCACTACAGAAGACAGGTCTGGTGATCTGCTTCCAAAGAGGTCACAGCCTGGAAAACTCCACAGAGCAGTTCTATTCTACATATGGGGTCACCATGAGTCAGAATCAACGTAATGGTAACCAACAACAATAATAAATGAACGAATCTATGGATGTGATAAAAATTGCTAAGATATGCACTCAGCACAGAAGAGAGGCACTTTGTTCACCTGGTGGGAGATCAGGAAAGGTATTCCGAAAAAGGTGATGCTTGGATGAGGTGATGAAGTTCAAGTAAAAGGTCACTAGGTGAAGATAAGGAAAGGGCATTCCAAGCAGAGGAGACAGCAGAGGCAAAATGATGGGGCTGTGAAACAGCTCAGTGAGTTTGGACATATTATCTGGTAGAACTGGAGAGAAGAGTAGGTTTGTGACAGTCGCAGGAAAGGAGGCTAAAGAGAGGCTATGGGCACTAAGCTAAGAAGCATGAGTTTTACCCTGAGAGTTCAGGGCAATTATTGAAGGATTTTAAGTAAATGGTCAGATTCACATTTTCAAAAGATCCCATCCCAGTGTGGAGGAAGGAGGCAAGGGTAGGGGCAGGTTAGAAGCAAGGCCCTTGCAGTTTTTCAAGTGGCAAAATGAAGAGACTGGGGTGTATGGTCCAAGCACATGACCAGGAGGCATCTAGAGGAAGGGCCTCTGTGGTTAGGACAGGAGTCCAGAGGGGTGTGGTTATGGGAGGGAGCCATCCCTGCTGACCCACCTGGCAGAGGCAGCGGAGGCTGGACAGTGTAGGTTTGCTGAGAGAAAGGTTTCACACTGTGGGAGACATGAGAGAGGAGTATAAACTTTGGGGCAAACTGCAGCCTTGGAGCCTTGAACAGGTCCAAAGTTCCCCTTGTGACAGACCCAGATGGTCTGGCCAGCCATGACCTTGGTGGGCTTTGGCTTACTACTCCCTCAGGGAGCAACATGTCTGTGGGGGAAATGCACCTCTCCTTCCCTCTCTCCTTCCCTCCCTCCCAGGCCAGGCTTGTAGCCCAGCAAGCTAATTCTTAGCTTCCTTCCTTAGGGTCCTAAGCACTGGCTCTGCCTACACTCCAGACAGACTGGAGTTTAGGCAAATGCACCCCAGTATGTCCACATCCCAGACAGAGCCAAGTGATGCCTGAGAGCAAGAGGTCCTGATTCCCAAGCTTAACGGTATCCTTAAAGGCTGACCCCAGACTACAACCTTGTCCCACCCTGGGGACCAGGCTCAATTTCATGACTTTATGGACTCAAACGCAGTTCAGGGAGCAAGTAGCAGCACAAAGCAGGCCATACTCACTCATGGGATGTTCCGGCTTGGCCTGGCAAAGCTCCTTGCCAAAACTGGGGAGGCAAAAAGTGCAGGTCAGCATGGCCCCCATGTGCACAGTGTGGAGAGAAACAGCAGGGGCTTCAGCTGGTAAGGAAGGCTATGAACCCTGAGCTGCCCCGGGCTGGCAGGGGAAGAAAGACAACGCTGTTGTCTAGTAACAGCTAGCACAGCATCCCAAAAGTATGTTTCAAGGAACCCTAGACATTGAAAGTGCTCACAGTAAAAACATTCAGACTTGGTAAATGCTGTGTACCACACTCCTCTCCCAGAGTCACAGTGCATATCAGCACTGAACACTCTGAAAAGTCCTAGAGGTAAGAAACCTAATGAATTCTAATAATGCCATAAATTTTCCACTGTGTCATTTCTATTTAATGTCCCAATGGACTAGTGTGCTCTGGAAAACACTTTGAAAATGCTAGATAGGAAGCTCTCTGAGGACAGGACCATAAAGACCTATTGAGTCCCAAGAAGCCAAGAAAGCCTTGTGGACACAGCCCTGGAAAGGAAGAGCCCTTCTAGATACCATTTTCAAAGTGTGGCCAATACAGCTAAGGCCAAGAAATTAAAAATCCAGGCAAAGGCTTGTTCTTAGACATCAGCTCTTCAACTAGAGGGAGAGCAGTGCTTTAGAGGGAGGAGTAGGGAGTGAGGCCAAGTGGTAGAGAGCTACTCAGGGACACGTGAGAGCTGTGCTAACCCTCAGGCCTCTGGACTTCAGCTTCCTCATCTGTAAACTGGGCCAACCCAGCTGGTCACCTAATGGAGGTGGCCCCTTTCTTCATTATGAAAGGTTTGTTTTGTTACTGCTAAGCCCCCAAGAGGGTGGTTCTAATACCAGCTGAGCCATGACTCAGCAAGGCTACTTGGTCCTTGGTCCCTCTTTTCCCAGCTCCCCTGGCCTGAGAGGACTCAAATGAGAGAAATTTGAACTGGCCAATGCTTCTAGTGCTTCAGAGGGAGAGGAGTGAAAAGGTAAGAGAGTTGGTTTGGCCTCTGGCTCTAGGCAACCCCACTTACCCCTGAGACTGCTGGGTAGCCTGGGCCCCGAGTGAGGGCCATTTTACTGTGGAAGGCTGTGGCGGAGATGATCTGGGCGGACGACATGGTAGCCATGCTCTGCAGGGCCTTGTCCTTAGCTGCCTGATCCTGGGGGAAGACATTGGAAGGGAGGACCTCAGCAGTGGTCACTGTGCCAGGCTTAGGTGAGGCAGGGTCAGGGCTTGTGGTCAGGACAGCTGTCCCCATGCCACAGGGCCCTAAACTAGGCCTTGGGGGACCAGGCTTTAAGTTCTTATAATAGTGCTATTAACTTGTTTTGTGACTCTGAGCAAGTCACCTGGTTTCTCTGGATACACTCCCTCATCTATTAAAGGAGCGTAATACTTGTGCTGCCTATTTTATTAGAAATTAAGAAGATTTTGGAGACCATCTTTCAGACCATATCTTTCATTTTACTAACCATGACAATACCCTGAGAACCTGCTATGTTTTGTTCATCACTATACTATTGGTACATAGCTTAGCACCTGGTTTATGGTAGATGCAGCATAAGTATTTGGTGGATTCCTCCTGAAATGGGCAGGAGGGATAGTCCTGGGTCAGATGGACTGTTTGCAGGCAAGGGATGACCTCCTGGGGCCCTACCTGTCTCAGTCCTGCACAACGACAATCCTGTCTCCTTTTGCACTGTGAGAACCTATAGGCCTCATTTACCTTTCAATATGAGAATGTAAATACCTACTACTCAAGACCCCAAGAAATGAGTTCATGCTGCACAGGCCCAGAACAAGTAGGCACCTGGGAAAGTCATTTATATGAAACTAGGGATAATAATAGTAATAACATTTTTTATACTTATTTAAACCAATGGTTCTCATCCTGAGATTCCCCAACCCTAAAAGTCTCCAAAATTAATGAAACCACATTTTACATTTCAAAAAGCCTAATGGAGGTCATGCCTTTGCCCAAAATAAGGCCACACATACTCACTGGAACAACAAGTATTATTAAGTGTGTGCAGCTTTATGGGGGGCTAAATGGTTGGATGATGTCAACCCAGAAGCTGTGACTGGAAATTCTAAATCTTTACAGTAAGTTTTTTAAAATGGAAAAAATAAATTAACCATTACTTAATAATAATAATTAACTTGGTAGCCACAGATCTGTTCTGAGTCATAAGAGCTCAGTGTCCACCCAGGGTCTTAGTCCTGTGCAGTTGTGTAGCCAGAACACAAGCCCTGCCACTCCCCTCTTAGCCCCTCAAGGGGATTGCTCATGCCACATGGCACAAGGTGACCACAGGTTTCAAGTTGGCTGTCTCACTTTGCCTCCGAATATCACAGTACTCCTATGAGGTCAGACAACCAGCAGGATCCCCATTTCAAAGGTGAAGAAACTGAGGCTCAGGGAATTTACGTGACTGGGGAGCTCTGGTAGCATAGTGCCTAAGGCACTTGACTGCCAACCAGAAGGCTGGAGGTTCAAACCCACCAGCCACTCCTTGGAAGGAAGGTTGGGCAATCTACTTCCGTAGTGATACCACCATGGAAACCCAAGGAGGGGTCGCTATGAGTCGGGTCCGACTTGACAGCACATAACAACAACAGGATGCTACAGTGGTGATGGTCAAGCCCCATGAGCTTGGTCCAGATTTGTACATCAACTACTTATAGGTCTATGGAGGACCTGAGGGAGCATGGAAAACCAAGGAGGGGTCACGTCAGAATAGACAGGCTCTGGCAAGTGTATCATAGAGGGCACAGGACACCATGCTGAGTGGTGGGGTCATCTTCACCAGGGACAAAACAGTATAGTAGATGAGGTTTGGACCAGGCCTTTTTCCTACGATCCTTTTAGGGCCAGACTTGGGCCTTGATCTGGAGCCTGTCTCTGATAACCAAAGGGGCGGGGAGCTCTTCCTAAGGCACTTGCACTTTTCAGGAGCTAAAAGCCAAACACGCCAAGGCCAGCTCCCAGGCCTCTCCTCCAGGAGGACATGAATGATGTGGCAGGCCAGAACGCCTGCAGACTTCCGTGATTAGCAACCACATTATGAGGCCCGAGAGCTCCACCTGCTCAGTGCCAGTAGCTTGTGTCCCTTCCCGGAGAGCCAATCTAAACAAATGACCCTGGCTCAGGAAACGGCGTCCTCAGCGGGGTGGAGCAGGAATCAAGAGTGGGTGGGAAGGACATTGCGGGGAGTGGCACCAGCAGTCAGGGTACAGAGCCAGGGAGCTATGGAATTTTGGAGCTGGAGGGGACCTCAGATACCACCTTGCTTAACTGTCCTCTCATTTTACAGATGAGGAAACTGAATGGAGCCTAAGTAAAGTTTGATGCTCAAGCCCCCACAGCCATGTTGACAGAGCCAGTGCTAGACCCAAGCAGTTCACCCTGATCTCACTGTCAGCCAGCATGCCTAACTACTTAGGGACCCTAACTACTTAGAGTGTGACAAAAGCCTCAGACCAACCTCCCCAGGAAAATGCACATATACATGAATTCCTGCTTATAATTTAAGGGGCTCATGGCTCTTCTGATGCTTGAGGCTGTCTATGGGCCCCAAGTTTGAACCTGTGGACAAGGACCAGCATGATTCCTTGAAGCAAATGTGGGCCGCACATAAGAAGTTCCCCTCAGGGACTCTGAGCAGAACACTGGAACGTCTGTCCTCCACATCAGCCACCTGCTGTGGTCTCCAGTGAGTCAGAGGCAGACCAGAGAGGGGGAACGAGGGACAAGCTGGGCTCCAGGGCAAGCTGTGCCAGCCCCATAGGGAGGGACCGACAGCTGCAGCCCAGCCAGCTGTCTTGGGAACAAAGGAGCGAGGTGCAGGCCACAGCTGTGAGGAGTGGGGGACAGCTGGACTGTGGGCAGAGGGGTGCGGCTTTCTATGAGGCAGAGGGGTCTGTGGTTCCCACCCACTCATTCTGGGCCAGCATCAGGATCATGGACTACTGGGGCAGGATAGGACCTTACAGGGCACCTAGCCCAGTGGCTTTAAAACTGGGTTCTGAGGTTGCCATAAGGTACCAAAGCCTCACCTATCTAGCTTTGACCAAGTAGCTCCTATGTTAGCATGCTGAGGGGGATATTATTTTGGGAGGACAAAACAGTATCTTTTAAAAAGTGTTTATAAACTATTGATCTACTCGAATGCCTCAACGTTGGATCTTCTTACCAAGTAGCTGTGCAGATTCTGCTGTTAACACCTCCCTGATGGGGAACTCCTGCCCTTCTAATGTGCACTAGAAAGGCCCCCAGCTCCAGGATCAAGAGGCTTGAATGCTGCTGAGGAGCAGGGCCACCCCGAGGGGCCCTCTACAGAGCAGTCTGCTCCAACGAGTGGAAGAGCCTCTCAGCACTGGAGAGCAGGGATCTGGAAGGAATTTCATCAACTCCTGCAAGACTAAACCCTACCTACGGGAGTGTCTGCTAGCCCTGCATTCTCTGGGTGATGGCACAAAGGTGCTCCCAACGGGGTCAGAGGCTCGAGGAGGTTATCAAGGAATGGGAGATGGAGGGCAATCTCTGCTTCTCTGAGTCACGTCCATGTGACTCAGGGTAGTGTGCAGCCCCCCACCCGCTACCCCCTGCCCTGAGCTGGAGCCAATGGGGGCATACAGGAGACTGATCTGTAACTGCCTCAGATGCTGCAGAGTCTGGCATTCACACACATGGCTCCAAGGTCAAGTGTAGTAGAGCCCTCCTGGTGGAGACAGCTTTTTAACCCAAAAGGAAGACCTTTTCTGCTGGATAAAGAGCCTACCTTCTGGAAAGATGGCCCAGGTCCCTCCCTTCCACTGATGAAGTTTGCCTTACCTTTAGCTTGGCCTGGATCTCTCGGGCTTTGCGACGAGCCAGCACCTGGATGTGGCTGGAGACCTGTGGCATGGGTAAGAAGGCTCCTGTCTCTGTCTCTCAGACTCCCATGCTCCCAATCCTGGCCGCCCCCACTCCCTCAGCCCTCCATGGCCCTTCACCCACATCTGTGGACTGGATGAACGCACAAAAAGCTCAGTCATTCACAGGGTCCTCAGACCTGCCTTATTCAGCTAACTCAGAGTAGGGCAATCTTTCAAAAGTGTAGTGCCAAGTGTGCCCATGACTATGTACAGGGTTGGCAGACAATATTTCTACAAGTGTATTTGTATGTTCTATAAGAATTTCCAGGTATATAGTAAAGCTGACAAGGGACAAGGTTGTAGTCACTTCTAGGCCACAGCCAGCTACCCAGAGAGAGCAAGTATTTAGACCTGTGGGCTCAGGACCATGGTCGCAGGGGACATCAAGCTCAATTGGCATAATATACTACACAAAAACATTGCTTCACATCCTACTTTGGTGAGTAGCGACTGGGATCTTAGAAGCCTGCAAGTGGCCATCTAGATGCAACGATGGGTCTCTCCTTATCCAGAGCAAAGAAGAATGAAGAAAACCAAAGACACATGGAAACAATTAGTCCAAGCGACTGGTACACCATGCAATCATCAGCCTATACGACTATGAGACCAGAAGACTACATGGTACCCAGCTACCACTGTCAACCACTCAGAGGGAGACCTATGTAGGAGATCCTGGATAGAGTGGGAGAACAATGTGGAACAAAACTCAAAATCATTAAAAAAAAAAAAAAGGACCAGTTTTCTGGTCTGATAGAGCCTGCTGGCACCCCTGAGACTATGGCCCCTAGCTGCCCTTCAGGTCTGGAATTGAACCCACTCCTGGGCTGCCAGACAAACAAAAGACAGGCATATGAGCTTATCATTTACACTGTTGTTGCTACTGTTGTTGTTATGTGCCATCGAGTTGGACCCGACTCATAGTGACCCCTCCTTTGGTTTCTGAGGAGTTATCACTATGGAAGTAGATTACCCAACCTTCCTTCTGAGGAGTGGCTGGTGGGTTTGAACCACCAGCCTTCTGGTTAGCAGTCAAGTGCCATAGGCACTACGCTAACAGAGTTGCTAACATTTACTTTAGGTAGATACTTTCCTTGGAGAGATCAATCATGGGAGAATAAAAGGGCTGTGTATGCACAGGGAGATAGCTCAGGGGGCAGAAGTGCATGGGAGGGCAGGACACAGGGGAGAGGTAACTATGGGGAGGAAGTGGGAGGGGAGCTGTTGCACTGTGGTATATTGTAGTCGATGTTATGAGACAAAGTACATGTGAACTGCTGTATGGAAAGTGAATTTGCTCTGTAAACTTTC